ATCCAGATTGCATAGCTTTAAGATATTATTTATATAGACTAATAGACATGATCTGGAAACCGGGGGGCAAATATGTCATTCTAGTTATTTTTTTCAACTTGGTTATGCATATACGGGTATTAGGAGACCCAAAAGTGGGGAGGCCATGGCCTCCCCCGGCCCCTATGACGGTCCGCCCCTGGATTGTCGTAGCTTTTTTGCAACTTAAATAGCTACAAAATTGTATTTCCTAGCTAAATCATAAATAGCTACGTAAAATTGCAACAAAATCAAAATTTGTAGCTATTACATTACGGAATATGCTACGGAATGGATGACCGTAGCTATTTTGCTACGAAAATGGCTACGGAGTTGAATTTCAGTGGCTAAATCCTGAATTGCTACCGAAAGTTGCTACGTAATCGAAATATGTAACTATTTTACCATAAAATATGCTACGGGATTCTTGGTTGTAGCTAGTTTGCTACAAAACTTATTACAAAATCAATACCCGTAGGTAATTGGCTACAAAATTTTCTACGAAATTAAAATCCATAGCTAGTTGGCTACGTAATTGAAATCCGTAACTACTTTTCTACAAAAATTCACTACACAATAAAAAGTTGTTGCTAATCTACTACGGAAGTAGTTACGAAAAGGTTAACAATAATTATTTTATTTTGTACTATACGAGTTTGCATTTTGTGCGAGATATAAATAATACATGTATGTTAACAAAAATATGTATACGACTAGTCCGAAAATCATATTTGAAATGGTTTATCTCACACGTGAAAAAAGTTTGTGACGATTCAAAATGAAATTGCTTTATTTATAATGCAATGTAATTTTTCGACTAAGGTTGTCAATTTAATTACTCCCAAAATTTCGGATCATACTTGACATTATGTCATTATTTCAAGTCTAAGGGGGTATTCATGTAGATCTTGGAAACATTAGGGGCTATGATGGCAAGATAAATGAGTCGGAGGAAGTTTAATCGCAGCTCTCAAGTCTCAACTACATCGCCCCAACCCGCTCCAGATCGTCGTTACACTTACACCCTCAATTTGTCGTCGCTCTCATATCGATCTTCTGTTTCTCTTTTTTCAGAAATCGATCAATTAAATTTTGAATATTAGTAAACGATTGCATCGTCATCAACATGAGGAAGCGAGATTTAGCAATTCTGATGCTCTCTGCTTTTTCCATTTTCTTTTCCCTTCATGTAAATCAGATTATCTCAATTCACTGTGTTAATCGACCTCAAAACCCTAGATCTGTTTAGTTTCTTATTTTTTTTAGTAATTTGTACTTCTAGTTGAAATTACATGATTACTACGTCTAATTTGTCTTTATTTGACAATAGCGCGAAGGCGATTTTGCGTTTAAGGAGTCGTGGTGCCATCTATTGGATGTCTGATTAAATACGAGGGGGAACCTATTGTGTCCGAACTTAATGGCAATCGAACGAAAGAGGTTCTTGTGGCTACTTATGACACAAAATTCAGGTATTGTTTATCTAGTTCGTAGAATCGAATTTAGGGCTTCAATTGAAGGTCATTCCAGCACGTTCGATAGCTCATAGAGATTGGTTCATGCTCAAATAGTTTCAAAGTATGAACGATTTGGTGTTATATTCTTATCCCAAACCTCTATAGTCTTCTTCCAAGCATACTTTCAAAAACTTTAATTTTTAATTTTTAACTGAGAGTTTCTCCAAACGAAATATGGCTATTATTTGCTATATAGCCTTTTGTTATCTCTTATATTAGTAGATAAACTTTTAGCATTTGTAACTTAAAAATCAAGGGGTACTACTATACTACTATGTTTGTAGTTATATTTATAACCACCTTTATTGAGATTGGAGTTTTGAATATGTTCTTTGTCTTCTTGTACTTACTTTTTTCATATTGATCCAGGTTTTAGAACCTCACTAGGTGTGTGGATGAAGGATTTAGTGAGGCTCGTGTTCTTGCAGAAGTAAACTTGTTACCTAATAAAATTTGTGTTTCTTTGGGCAGATGTGAGTAGCCATGGCAAGAGGGGTAGTTGACTGAACTTTCCAATGTGGTCATGTACAAAAACAAGTCTTGGTTGTTGTGACACCAGGTTGGTCTATAATGTTCTTTGATCATAACCTCCAAAAGCTATGGGAAACAAATGCTAAGGTCAATTTTTTTATAAAATTTGCATAAATCTCAATTTTTATAATCAAATTTAATTACTTATTTGCCTGTAGATCTATTACCTTGATATCAATTATTCAGCTTTTTTTTAATTTGGATCGGCTGAAGATGTTTTTGTTGTGCATTTCAACAACTTCAACATATCTTTTCGGTCTTACTGTAAAACACTGTATGTCTTTGTGATTGGTGTATCTAAGTAACCTATTTGAGAGCGCTTAATTATAAATTCCAAATATGATTACAACTCTTTGCTTTCATAATTCTTCAGGTTCAAGACAGTATCTGTGAGTTTGCAAAGAAGGTCTAACCCCATCACATATTGGTGTTATCCTTCGTGATTCTCATGGATTTGCATAAGTGAACAGTGTAATTGGGAGTAAGATTCTCAGGATTCTCAAGGCACATGGTATGCATTCTCTTAATCTCATCCTTATTGTGCTTTTTAATATGTTGATGTTATTAATATTTGATGACATGGCAGGGCTTGCTCCTGAAATCCTAGAGGATTTATACCATTTGATCAAGAAGGCAGTTGCTATCAGAAAGCATTTGGAGAGGAACAGGAAGGACAAAGATTCCAAATTCAGGTTGATTCTTGTTGGAGCAGGATTTACAGACTTGCTCATTACTACAAGAAGACCAAGAAGCTTCCACCTGTCTGGAAATAGTATGTTCCCAAAATTTTATTTTATTACTTATTTCCATCATTGATGCACATATGTTTTCTATGTGTCTAAGTTGGATTGTCTCACATTTTCGTACTATAGGTGCCACATCATCATGTGACATCCCCATTTTCACGGCCAGAAAAGACCGATTTTGTTTATGCTTTATAAAAATCAG